AAAAAAAAAAAAAAAAAAGAGGAAGACCCCCTCAAAAAAGATGGATTCTGTGGCAACAGAAATGGTCTCAGGTGTAACAATACTTTCAAGAATGGCACAGGACTGGGTAGTGTTTTGTTCTGTTATCCATGGGGGTCACAATTTGTCGGAAACAACTCAGCGGCATCTCACAATTATAACATCTATTTCTCAAGTCCTTCCCATAACTACCCTTTAGTGATACATTCTTGTCTCCTATAACCTATTATAAACCAATGGGTCCTGTACCTCTCAGAATTATGCTTGGGGTCACCTAAAGAAAATACAAAAGTATCAAGAAGATTAAGATGACAAAGTTTTGGGTTTACTATCCACAAACTCCAGCTTTAGTTCTTTTATACACTGGTGTTTTACAGTGTATAAAGAAAAGGGGAGGTAAGGAAACTCAGCTGCTACAAAACCAAATTGAAACACTTATCTAAACCAGATAAAAACTAGGACATATAAATTAACAAAGTGGAAACACACTGGACATGGACAAAGACTACAGCAAAAAAATTAACTTGCGAATTCAGGTTCCAACTGTAAGTAGTTCAGAATTAAAGCAAGAAACTTTAATGCACTTGTAAAACTTTCTCCTGGATCTACTTGAATCCAAACACTAAAACTGGATCAGATGGACTACAGTTTCACAGATAAAGCAGCAAAATATTTTTTTTACCACGTGCGTACTCAAGTGCGTTTACTTTTCAATATATGGTTAAACACAGTATTGGGCACAATGGTTCAAAAGTTTTGCCTTACCTTCCGATCATCGGGTATCAAGTCTTGAAGTACCTTTCTCTTAGGCCATTCTTTGGCCAGTTCTGCAGAGGCCAGCTCCTGCAGGTGGTATACAGCTATCTTGGCAGAACGCCTCTGCACTCGACCCCCACTCTTTGACTCTAGACTCATGTCCTTTAAGCACTCTGGCTGTCCTGACTTTGGGGAGAAGGAAATCTGTAAGAATGAAACACAGCAAAAAATCAAGCCTGATTAAGTGGCTTTAATCAAAGCTTAATGACAGGCTGTCTTCCCTGCTCTAAATATCAAGAGGTTCACTAACCACTAACAGCACAGCTGCATATTTTACTGATTTAAAAGTCATCCATATGCAATAAAATGAGCCTTAGCCTCACACCCTGTACAATCATAGCCCAAAATATAAAACCCCAAAACATAAAACTTCTAGAGGACATCATGGGATTTGTAAATGTTTGTAATCCTGAATGGGATGGTTTTTACTGATGTATCAAATTGGCAAGGTTACAGTTTCCTGTTACTAATCAAACATTAATCTCAGTATTTCTGTGAAGGTATTTTAAAAGTATAATTGAAGTCCATTGTCAGTTTACTTTAAAGGATAGATGTGGTGGAAGAAAGGGAGTCCTGTTGGCAATGTAGGATAAGCACTATAGGATGGGACACCAAGATCAGCAATTTAAACTCACCAGCTGCTCCATGAAAGAAACATAAGGCATTCTGCTCCTGTAAAAATTTACAGCCTCAGAGACCCTATACAGGGTAGCTATGAGTAGGAATTAACTAGATGGCAGTGGGTTTGTGGTGACAGAAAAGACAGGTGCAATACAATAAATAAGAGACGTAATCAGCTACTGTTAGCTTTGAAGATGAATAGAACAACAAGCCAGAGAAATTGTGTGGCCTCTGGAAGCCAAGAACGACTCCCAACCTACAGCTAGCAAAGAAATGAGATCCTACAACTGTATGGAACTAAATTCTTAAACAATCTGAATGTGTCTGGAAATGGCTTCTCCCCTACAGACTCCAGAAAGCAAAGTAGCCCTACCAACACTTTGAATTCAGCCTAGGGAGACTCAATCAGAGGAACCAGTTAAGCCATGCTGTACCTGGACGTCTGACCTAAATAACTGGGAGATAATCAATCTGGAGTTTAAAGCCACTCACTACATTTGTGGTGACTTATTACAGCAGCAGTAAAAAGTAATGCATTTGTGGTTAGGTATAGACTAGATACAATGACAAAAGCATGATCCATAAAAGATAAACTTAACTCTATCAAAATTTAAAACTTCTGTTCTTCAAACACTACCATAAAAAACAAAATAAAATAAAATGGGGGGAAAAAGCCCCAGATTGGGAGATAATATTTGCAAAACATATCCAATAAAGGACCTGCACCCACAATGTAAAAAATAAATTAAAACTTTCGAAACTGAATTATATTATCAAGATTATAAATAAAGATTTGAACAGACACTTCACTAAAGAAGAAATATAAATGGCCAAAAACAAATGAAAAGACGGTCAAATATTTATTAGTCATCAGGGAAATGTGTTTAAAAAATAAAAATACTACTAAACCACTACATAGCTGTTGTTGTTGTTAAGTGCTGTCAAGCTGATTCCAATTCATAACTACCCTGTACAGGATTTCCAAACAGCAGTTGGTGAGTATGAACCACCAACCTTATGGTCTGCAATTCAGTGCCTATCCTACTATGCCACAAATCTTAGAATGGCTTAAAAAAATTAAAATGCTGACTATACCAATGGCTGACAAGGATGCAAAACAACTACAATTCTCATACTTTGCTGGTAGGAATGCATTTTGGCATAGACACTTTGGAAAACAGTATGGTAGAGTTCCTTTTAAAGCTAAATATACATTTACTATATGACCCAGTAATCCCATTCATTAAGAATTTACTCAAGACAAATTAAAACTTATTCTCCCACAAAAACCGTAAGTGAACAATCCAAATATTCTTCAACTGGTGCATGGAAAAACTGTAAAATATTCATACAATGGAATGCTACTCAGATATAAACAGGAATACAATGATACATGCAACATGTGGATGAATCTCAAATGCATTATGCTAAGTAAAAGAAGCCAGATTCAAAGAGCTATAAACTATGAGTCTGATAAGATATTCTAGAAAAGGGAAAATTACAGGGACAGAAATTAAGGGGGTGAGGGCTTCAAAAAAGTAAATGGAAAAATGGATGAAAGTTATGGAATTTTTCCATGAACATTTTGAAGTCCCCTCATGTAGATTCTCAGGAGAAAGATGAGGCTTTCTGCTCCTGGGAAAATGTAAAACCTTGGAAACTCTGTACAGCGTCCACTCAATGGCACTAACAACAACATGTAGATTAGTGGTTGCTAGGGTTTGGGTGCAGAAGTTAAGAATTGACTACAAAGGAACAAAAAGAGTTTTCGGGGACTGATCTGAATTTTGGTGTGTAATTAAACTGTTCTGTATCTTGGCTGTGGTGGCAGCCACATAGCAGTGATTATCACAACTTTGTAACTATCATACTTGTTGGTAAGTGCTGTCATGTAGGTTCCAACTCATAGCGACCCTATATAGGGTTTCTGAGGCTGTCCATGTTTGTGGAAGCAGAAAACGTCTTTTACCGAGGAACAACTGGTAGCTGAAACCGTGGACCTTGTGATTCGCAGTCCAGTGCTTATTATATAGAGCCACCACACTCCCAATCATACACTTTAAAGGGTATTACCATATATGAATTACACTTGAATAAACTAGACTCTAATGTTGCTGTTGTAATGTGCCATGGAGTCGGTTCCAACTCATAGTGACCCTGTAGAGGTTTCTGACGCTGTAAATCTTTACAGGAGCAGCAAGCCTCATCCTTCTCCCGTGGAACAGCTGGTAGTTTTGAACTGCTGCCCAATTCGTAACCACTACGCTACCAGAGCTCCTTAGACTCTAACAGAAACTATATATTAAAAAAGGGGGATGTCTGGAGAGAAAAAAAAGGAATAGGTTGAGGCAGATGCTTTGAGCCTCACAAAACTGAGTTTACCTCAGTCCCAGACTTTGCACATTGAACTTTTCTTTCTCTAACTTAGTAATGTACAAAAGGCAGAAACAACAAAGACAAAGAAAGAGAGAAAAGCATTCAAAGATTAAAAGGGGAAACAAATAAGAAAACAAGGATATATCGAAATATGTAAGGATAAACAATCACCACAGAATACATCCCCAAACAAGGTCTAGAAAGAAATCAGTACTCACAGGTCCGTGCTCTGACCTCAGATGATACGCAAGTCCAGCCTTTGATCTATACGGCTTTTCACAGTGGTGACATTTCAAAGTCATCTTCTCCAGCTCTGCAGCCTCTTTGCCACATTTTTTGACATGGTACATATATCCCATGATGCTGGTGAAGGTACTAGAGCAACTCTGAACACAGGAAAGACTTAAACTATCATCTTACATCTTTTAACATGATTCCTACATTTCTAAACAACCACAAAACACTCATCACCACACCATATAAGTAGACCCTCTGATTATCATGAGACCCTGGCCAACATTTCCCAATGGCACAACGCTTTATTGTCCCTGTGTTCAACAGCTGTCCTATCTATGATATTCAATCAGTTTAATTGGCATTCAACGAACTATAACTGGGTACATACTCTGTGTCAAAGCTTCCTCCTTGTTCTATGATCCAACCCCACCCCAGTATCAAATACGCAACAGCATTAAAGTTCATCACAGTGAGGTTACCGGATCGTCTTCTTCACACTAAAGAAAAGATGGTAAAGAAAACCCTTTGAACAAAAGGAAAAGGAGATAAAAATTAATTTTTGGAGATTAAAAAAAAAAAAGAACTACTAACGAGTTCAGGAGACCTAGAAAAGCAGAAGCCAGCCTTATGCCATTAAATGGCACAGAAATAGGAAGGACCTACAAAGGAGCTGAAGGAAAATTGGAGAATAGGAACAAAGATATTGACCTGAGACTCCAGGAAGGAGTCATGGGCTCTCACCTCACGTATGCACCTGATCTTGCCTAGTCTCTTCAGAACTGTTCGAAGTCGTTCTCTCTCACTCGGCTCATCCAGTTCACCTCCAGTCTTTAAAATTGGCTAGAAAACATGCAAAGGACACAAGCAGATCATTCAAGGGAAAGACAGATATGGAAAAATAATTATGTCAAAGGAAAATCAAGGTCAACCAGAAGAAGAAAAAAAGAGTAATCTGATACAATCTGATGAACTTGACCTACACCTATGGATGCAGTAGCTCAAAAGAAGAAACAAATCTTTACAGTAAGGATCATTCCCACCCCCTCCACACACAGAGTAGACAAGGATGGGCAACTTGGACACTGGCTACCCAAAATGGGGGGGCTACAAAAGCAAGAAGTGACTGGCTTACAAGCTTTCAAGAGGGAACCTAGATCCAGGGGGTGTGAAGGAAGGTAGAATCTCCTGTCTAGACAAGGCTGTCTAGAATAGCCTGTCTAGACAAGGCTGATGAAATGAAATGCAGATAGGTCTCTTGTGATACAATAGTGAATAATTATCATCAGGACTGACTGTGAGGGTTGGAAATGTACAGTTAGACGTTTTGTAGCAAGGAGAGGAGTGATTAACTTTTCAGTCTAGGTGCGGAGGTCCCTGGGACCATCAAGGGAGAAAAGCAGAGAGCGGGAACCTACCCAGAGAAGCAGTGATGCCTGAGATGGAGACAGAGACGATGACGAGGAGAGATGGAGCATCTGGGGACTTTAGACACAGAGAAGGAGAGGGGCTGTGTGCTGATGTCTGGGGGGCAGGCTTATAGTGTATATACCCTTT